TGACGTTAGCGACGTCGTCGTCGTTTCTTTTACAAACGCCTTATTTGTTTTGACTGATGTACCGTCGCTAGATCTCCTGTGTGAGAATTGAAAGACTCAAAAACTCATTCCCAACCTTTAAGATATGGCATCCACCGTCGTGTTTTCCATTGACCGAATCCATCCCACAAATACTTGCAGGTTTCAGAACAGGAGGCAAGTCCTTCAAGTTTGTCTGTACGAGAAACAACAAGGTAAAATACTTCATTGGTAACATTTGACTCTTCAAAGTCTGTTAAGCTAAAACAAAACAACTGAGCTCATGATGTTATTGCTGGAAATAACCATAATCTATATACTAAGTTTTTTTTTTTGCTGCGCAGCGAAGCGATGCAGCTTGCTAATCCGGGCATGCGCAGCAGTGGTATAGTTTTGCTGGTCTGTTGCTGTGTATTTACAATATGTCTCGCTTTTTATGTCTCACCAGACGCGAAAACGAGATTCTTCTCTGCCTAAGGTACTTCTCTGGCTGAGTGCCTTAGCTATTTTCCAAACGCGAGAGCCGTACAAGAAGAATATCGGCCAGAGATCTTGACAACAAGGTCCGAATACAGCGAGTTCTGTACAAACAAGACCGAGTGCCGATGTTCTCCTCGAGCAAGCTTGGTTAATAAGAGATTTATTACACGACTGAAAATGTTAAGAAATATTGATACGCTCACGGACTGTAAAAACATCTCAGACTTCAAAAGGGCAATTCTGATTGGGATCCGACTTGGCATATACTCACGACTGATGTAAAAAATAAAAAACAAAAACAAAACAAAACACGGAAGAGAAAAAGAGTAAGAAGGAAAAGGGAAAAAAAGAATCTTTTATATGAATACAAGAAACCTAAACCATAAAACTACAGAAATTATTCAAGAGCGATCGTGCGAAATCATTCGGGATATTGCCCGGTCTGTTACTTAGTGAGAATATTGTACCGGTGATAGACCAATCTGATTGACTGATTTCAGTTATTGGCCCTTGACGTGTAATAGGGCTGGATATTGGCCAAGTGCTCTTTTTAAGCATTTATGAAGGGAGATGGTGTCGTAGTGTATGATCACGCAAAACAAACAAACAAACAAACAAACAAACAAACAAACGAGGCAAATTAAATATCCAGCCATCTTAACCAAGCAAGCTTGGTTAATAAAAGATTATTTACATGGAACCTGCTTCGGCTTCGGAGAATTTTTTCCTGCTTGACAAAGCGCATAATCACGAGCGGGCATCTACCCGCTCGGGTAGCCAATCACAGCGACGAATTTGGTTCAACCTGCCCGCTCACATAATAGAGCCGTATAATAAAGTGACTGAACATTACCATTTTGCGCAACACAATCTTGCGCATGCGCATGCACTTAAGCTTTTTTATTGCATATTACATTACATCACATTACAGATCGCTATGGGGAAAGTAAAGTGATGGCCGCTCGCAACAGTTTGCAGCATGTTTCAGCAATTGTACTTTGATAAATTATTACTGCCACTCGTTTTCAGTTGACACTATAGTAATGACATCAAGCAAATGCCCAGTCATCCAGTGAACAAGTTATAGTCATACTTTGGCATTGCAAGTTACCATAGCAACAGTTTAAGCTAATCAAAACACTTTTCAATTTATGTTAAAACGTTTATGTAATAAATCAAACGGGAAAGACTTTGTTTGACCACATTTACAAACATTGCGAAGAGAGTTGGAAATAAAGCGCGCAGCGGAGTAATTTTGACGAACTTCGAGGTGTTTGAAAATGTGGTCAAACACTGTCTTGAGTGATTGATATGTCTTTTCAATCGAAACTAAAATTAAGGAGAAAACGGAGAATTTGTGCGTGTTTGATACCAATATAGGCTGACTTACTGTGCTAAAAAGAAATCTACTTACCAGAAAGAGGGGCTTTTAGCTGAGCCTTAGTCACAGTTATGTTTAAGGTACGATGTCCATGCTTTACCAAGTATTCGTCTAAGGGTCCTAAAGTTCCATTTCTGTGGTTGGCCCCCTGAACGTCGCCTATGATGAACCAATCGCGAGGTGGGTCTTTGAAGCCATCACAAAGACTGTAATCAAGGTAAATCATTAGTTGATAGACACCAGGCTCCGTGATGAGAAATAGAGCTTCGTAAGTTCCATTATTGTGATCGAAAACAGTGGCCGCAATGCTTGTTGGACCACGTACGTAAACCCTCCACGTGTCTCCACCAATCAACTTCGTTCGATTGTCTGAGGTTTTTGACTGGATGAAAATCCTGCTGAACTCTCCCGCTGGTCTGATATCTTTGAATATAATGTCACTTGTTGTAGCGTTGCTTCTATTGCTTTTACCCCAATGCTCCTTCACTAATCCCCAGGCCATATTGTCAGTGCAAGGCTTAATAATATTCTTCCAGTCTACCCGTGCACGGCGCTGACGAAGCCACTCGTGTCGGAAGTCTTGCAATCTACGCGAAATTAACGACCTTTTTGCTCGACGACGGCTCTGATGGACATTGTTACGAGAATTGTCTGGTCCTTTCTTTGAGTTAATCAAAGAGTTGAATTTATTATTACTGTTTAATTTATTGATTCCATTACCAAATTGATATCCAGTGCCTTCACTTGGAGAAACAACTCCAACAAGAGGCGGGCAGTTGTTCATCATGTCCGTGAAATATAGCAAGCACAGGAGAAGTAGTACACCAAGGCAAATAAAAACACAGAGGAACCGCATCATACCTGGCACTGGTTTGTTGTGGCTCTTGGGAAGCAGAGAATTAGAAGGCATCGTCTTAACGAATACGCTAGATTGCAGTGAAAATGGAAAGAAACGGGGAGAGTCTGAGTACGATGACTTATGTGTTTAAGGTTCTGTTGAAAGTTCTTTGCTAACCTCAATTCTAAGCTCCCTTTCTTGAGTTTTTCAAACTCACTTGGTGACTTGACTGAGGAGAAGGCTTTCGTGTGAGTTTAGCCCTAACACTCTCTTTGATTGATGATTGATTGATTTTGACCATAACCTTAAGTGGGTATAGGGCCAGTTCTTTTTTTTTCCGGTTTCTGTGATCGATAATTCTTTACGGGATGGGGGGATTGGCCCCATGCCCTACCCCCAACCTGGAGGGCCTGGGTTTTCTGTCAGGGTGTTCTTCCCTTAGCCTCAATATCCCGTTATTTGAAAGGCGCCGGATACCCGCCTTTTGCCGTTGTCGCTCAGCTGCAGTACAACTGCATTACCGGGGTTATGACGAGGACATGTGACAGCCGACTT